TAATATTCAAAAGAAAGCAAAGAATTTATGCTTAATTTTGAAGTAAATTGGTGGTCATTGATCTTATGTATTTAAGTGTACTCATAGAAGGAAAGCGCGGTTCACAATCTATTCTGGGCTTACGACATATCAAGAAGAGTTTACTCTTATTATTTTTAGTATTAGTTTATTGTCATTCTTCTCGTTTTATATAAATTTCTGTATTACTTCAGTGTACAAAAATACTGGTTTTATTTCAGGACGTGAAGAAGCAGCTGTAGTATTTTATTAGTGTATGTGTAATCTTGTTGTTGTATAAAATGGAAGTAAATATAAGTGAAAGAGGAAAAACGGTCTTTTGCGTATCAATAAATACAACTTTGGATTTCAAAAAAATTTGAAAAACGGCTTACAACGTTGGACGTGCACATTCAAATCATGTAAGTGCTACATAAAAGTTAATGAAGTAAATGACAATATTGTTGAAACATCGAGTCACCAACACAAACACAAACACAAACAAAAGTTGATTTGCCTTTTAAACCTGGAAATTTTTATATTGATTTTGGACAAAGTATACATATTGCGATTAAAAAAGTGCTGCCAGCAACCAATATAAATGGGTGTAGATTTTATTTGGGTCAAAGTTGGTGGCGTAAAATTGAGGAGCTTGGGTTGGGTCGTGAATACAAGACGAAAGAGTTGGATATAGGCCAATTTTTAAAAAATTTCTGTGAATTATTTTTTTTACACCCTAGTAGTGTTGACAACTGTTTTACGGGAGATTTCATGGCTATAATATCAAATAACTCAAGAGTTGAAAACATTTTCAATTATGTGCTTCAGAATTACGTCGCCAGTGACTCATTATTTTCACCATCAGTGTGGTCCCAATTTTCATCATTACTAAATCGAACTACAAGTTACTGTGAATCTTTCTATTCACATTTTAATGAAATGTTTTATCGATCGAAACCAAACTTGTAACTGTTTGTTGAAGCGCTTAAGGCTATTCAATGTAAAGTGCACATCAAGATGTGCAGTACCATAGACAAAGCAAAAGAAACAAGGGACAAAGAAGAGTTTTTAACGAATTATATGCTACTGTTAAAACCCGGATTTATATCTCGATTTGAATTTGTACAAACAGTCTCAAACAGTTTTTACCGATTAGAATTTGTAAAGAATTTGATAATTTCGTTTTTGCATTCATGGCCGTCGATATTTTTTTAAACACGCCAGCGTCAAAACGACTGTCAGTCCGAACTCTGAATGAAACGTGACGAAAAAGATATTGAACATTTTAGCATGAAAGAGGCTGCATATCAAAAGCACCAAATAGCCCATTTTTGACGTATCATAAACGCCAAATAAAACCTTTTGAAAACCTTACTACGTGGTTTTTGTTTCGCAGTTCTTGAGCAGGCTTCGTTTTGTCGATTTCACGCTTATAATGTCTGATTTTATTGTGACCACGACTAACAAAGGGAAGACTTGTCTAATTCACGAAAATTATAAGTATAACAAAGTAGATTTTAATGTGGTTGAAACTATTTTTTTGTTTGCCTTATTTGCAACCTGAGGAAGTAGAAGATGCTTTTCTCGAATTGATGTCTATCGTTCTCGATAACAGCTTATTGACGTAGTTTTCCGATTGCGTGCTAAATAACTACATTGATGAGGGGTGACAATTTCCGCCACGTCTTTGGGCAGCATCTCTAACACATAATCCTTGGACAACGAATGAAGCTGAATCATTTCATCGACTTTTTAAAGATAATTCTTATACCTCGCATCCAAACGTTCATTTCTGCATAGATGTAGTGAAAAAGATTCAAAGTACAACGTACTTAAAATTTTCTGACTCCTCGAAATCAAAGAAAAAAGATAAACAGTTGAAAGCCATTCCAAATATTTGAAAGATCGCCGTACTAAATTAGATAATAACCAATGAACAACAATATAATTTCTAAAGAAAATTCGTAAAGAAGCACTACCTGTTCCAATTGTGAATGAACGGACGTAGTAAAAGTATGTTTCCGAGTAAGTGAAAGTATGTTTTCAATTTTGACAGTATTATGACAATTTAAATTAACTTCAAAGCATTATGTGTCTAGATATGTCACTATTTATAGAAAATATATCATTTCTAATACCCACGGCTTATTTATTTGTTTTATTTTATATTTTACCTTAAGCGTTTTTAAAAGGTTTCGTATGGCGCTTACAAAAGGTGCAAGTTGCCGCTTTTAAAAGGTTTATTTTGGCACTTTTAAAAGAAAAAATTTGTGATTTTGGCGCTTTTGAAAGCCACCGTGAAAGACACTACATTACTTATTTATACATATCTTATTTCTTAACTGCGTTTTAATAGCCGGGAACCATAACGACCATGCATCCTAATGAGCCGGGAACCAATTCCACAATGTTTACCTCCGGAGAAATTTGCTTTAAACTTTTGTAACCCTGGGAAATTTAAATAAATAGTGAAAATGACTATTATTTATTAACTTTAAGCCTTATTTTAGTCCAGTGAATGGAATATTTTTTTTCAGTTCAATGTAGTAAATACTTCGCTCATTTACCAGTTTCACATACTTAAAAAGCTTTATTTTAATGCATGTTAAGTGTGAAAATGATAAATATATATTACTCATGAAGCTTAAAATAATGCGCATAAAAGTGAGTAAAAAGTGTTGAAGAAAATTAACCACTTTGTGATATACAGTGAATTACAGTGATAGGAAGTATCTAAACAAATTTTTACTAGGTAACTCCATACGGCTTTTGCAATAAGGTAATGCTAAACAAAGTGTGTCCATAGCATTTTGAGAACCTTAAATAAGGAATAAAATGAAAATCAAGCGACAAAATGCCAAAAAAAAAAACTACACAAGCTCCCCGCGCTGAATCACATAAAACGTACACGAGGTTAGCAATATCAACGACCGCAAACTCAAGCACGAGTGTACACAGAGAACACCCTGCCCCTCGGAAGTCGAGCACCGCAACGTTTTGGACCACAACCCACCGTCGATTTATCCACACGTACGACATATAACATGTACCTTCCTAAAGAAAAAAAAAAAAAAAGAAAAATCAGCACGCGCTGAGTCCGCATAGCTCGGCAGTGAATTTATCACGCGCGTCATTATCACCACTACCTCGCCGACCCGAGCGCCCGCGTGGCATTTTATGCTTATTATTCACAGCCACGGGCCGCGCGCCAGCCTCCGATACCGCGACTGTATTGCCCGTGCCGCGAGTAGCCGGGAAGGGAGGGAGGGCATTAAACCCGCAGCTCAATACACGGATGCATAACGACGTCACGCGGTAGACAACGGGCAGTGGTGGGTATCTCTCCGTCACGCCTCGCTGGGCCTCTCCCTCACGCATCGCTTGGCGCAACACACACCATCGCCCCGCATGGGTGTATGCAATTGTATACGAGTGGGCCCGCGACACACGCCGCGCAGATCGTCCGGAACGATACATCGCCGGGGGGATGAGGGGCGACGTGCTCCCCTATCGATGAACCGGCTGAGGTGCGTGGGCTCGCTTGGCTGCCCCCTCCACGCGTGTCCTTATCGCGGGCAAGTCTCTACGAGGTCTGAAACAACTGATATCTTTCCGCGGTGGTTTTTAGTTTTTCAGCTGGAAAGCTGTCGATAGACCGGCCGCGTTTTTGTTTCGGCTCCTGGAACGGCCGCTGGTCGGGTGCGATTGGGGCTTTTTAGCTTTTGGCTCACCGTGATTTTTACGGGATCATTCGGTGTCACTTTTTTTCAGGTGGGCAATAATGTAGGTCCCTGCTTGTATTTCCCCGCGTAAGATAACCCGAAGCTTCTCCACTGGTGGATATAACAAAGCAGGTGCGCATTCAGTGGATCGTTCGACCTCCGATGCATTGGAATGACAATTTTTACGAATATGGAGGCAGATCAAGCCAACCTATGGCAACAGCCACCGGCCTCCGGAAAGAAGCTCGTAAAGCTCTAACAACACCGTCGGAAAAAAGGAAGGTCACCACCATCCAAACTCATGAATAACACAGCCTGAACGTCATGGACTACGAATCCGACGTCCATCAAAATTCTCCTCCAACTGCCTCTTATCGGCTGGGAAAAAAAAGTGGAAGAATCGCAAGTGCAAGAGTTGATGGTAAAACCCATCTTCGGAGCAGGCCGTGAACGCTCGCGCCCTTCACGATTTGCTAGCTAGCGGCTCCCTTGCCATTATTCACCGTACGTCCCTCTCTCTCTTTCTCTTCGCGCGTGGCATTAATCAAACTTGAGCAGTTTGCTTTTGAAAAAAAGGTCTCCCCTGCTGCTGGTTTTTCAGCTCCGATGTGTCCGTCTCTCTCCAGCTATGTGTCAGTGGGATGACCCGTAGTCCCCTCGTTTTTTTTTTTTTTTTTCGAGCCAGGGAGGAGTGGAATTGGATAACGAGGGCGATCGCAGCTCGTTATCGTGCTCATCGCTCCGCGTATCGGACTTTGGTAGGGATGACCGGGCGGATTTTTCTGATTGGCTACAAATTTTTTAAAAATTTTCACAGGAAAGGTATTTTCAACTTGTCGTACTTCTAAAATTGACGTAGCTCGTTTCGCTTGGACCAGCAGCTTATAAAACGCTCGCGCAAATTGTAAAGCAGTCGCTTGGTGTACAGTATACACTTTTTGATGTACCACATGCATCGTTGAGGGGCAGTGAGTTTTGATAAAGGATAGCGTGGTGGGTAGCGTGGTTTCATTGACATCAAGTGCCACTCGAGAGGTACAAATACGCGGAACAACGAAAAAAACAGGGTGGCCAAAAATTGCTCGCAACACGATTTTGTCCTCTTTGACGGTTGCTTCTGTTGTCGGTCACGTTGTCGAGCCACTACTTACTTCCCGTTGAAAAGAAAAACTCAACGTCCAACGTAAAAATAGAGGCGATCGCACGCGAACAAAGTCAATGCCGCAGGTCTATTAGTTCCAAGTTCACCGGTGAGCCATTGCAGTGTCCTTGGAGGGCCGAGCAGGTGAGTGGTTGTGCTCGGCGTGCGGTCGGACGCCCGTTCGTCGACTCCATGATGTGACGAGTGAGCCTGGTACCGTTGGAAAAAAAAAAGAAATTTTAGTGAGTAAGGTATATCAGAAAAAGATACTTATCTCTAATTAAATTAAAATTATGCAAGTTTGCGCTATTTTTAAATCTGTCGTCCCACGGTTTATAAGAAACAAAACTGACTCTCATCATGAAATGAAATTTTTTGTACCAATTAACTTGTGAGACCGGCATATGATAGTGCTACTTAAAATTAGGTTTGAATGATAATTCAACCAAAATCTATGTCAAATAGGCTGCGAGAGTTCGTGTCGATTTCCCATTAACACAAAGTAAACAAACAGTAGCTGTAATCTCACTTGCGGCATGATTGGTTCTCAAAATTGATTAAAAGAAAAAAAGAAAAGAGATTAGGCCTTAAAGGCAATAAGAAAAATTCAAAATTGCCAAAATCTCCAAGTACCCGTAGAACACCGATAAATAACCCCAAAAGGTTAAAAAAAGAAACTCCCTCTCACAGTCGGCTCGCGTCGTAAAAATAATTCACAGGGCGAGTTGGGACGACTATGAGGTAAGACAACGCAGTGTACGAACCCGCGTCCCAGTGGCATCCAGCAGCGAGAGCTGGCCGCTCAGTTGACGGTCTGGGGCACGTAGGGCGGCATGTACGGCCCGGTGAGGATGTACTGCACGGCGACAACCATAAGCTGGGGCGCGCTCCACCTGATGATGTACGAGCTTCCTGGAAAGAGAAAATGCATTTCGCGTGTTTACTCTCTCTCTCTCCGTCTAGTGACAAGTGTACCCTTTGAGCTGAGGCAGACGCTGGATGGGGGAAACGGGAGAAGCCGTGTCGCCGGGGAGGAAAGACAGCGGGGCAATTGGATATGTATCTGGATGCGCTGCTGTCGTCGTTGGGGAAAGGTTTCAGAAGTTCGCGTTGTACGTGTAGTCCGTTTCGGCGGTGAATGGTATAGGGTGTAAGGGGATTTTCGTGTGCTCCGCGCATTTTGATGCTACACTTGTGCCAGGGTTGAAAGGGGGAAGATGGGCAGGAAACAAGTTTCACGACAGTATTTTTCCTAGACAGAAATGGTCTCGACGACTCCGCTAGAGTCGGCAATATTTATTAGAAATAATAAGTAGCCAATCTATGAGGAAAATTACAACTTGTCCTCCCACAGGAACAAGGTACAAGGTACATGTAGTCGTTGTGTAACGCAGAAAATAACGACGCGAGGGGTACAATGGCGCGCCTGCGGGTATGTATTATATACACAGAGAAGCTTGCTTACACAACTTGGAGAGAGATGATAATCAAATATGCGTGTTCTTGTCAAATTATACGCGTGCCAAGTTTCGTAAGCTCACGCGAGGGAACCAATGCTGGGACGTATGGATAATTGGCCACTTGACACGTGATTTTGAAAAGATTTCAGCCCCATCGAATTGATGATACGACTCTCCCATATTGTAGGTAACAGTGACACAGACTTTTTTTTGTGTAAAATAAATTTTCACGATGAAACATATTACTCTGTACACAATTGAGAAATTTCAATACCATTGGTGTAATCAGCACCCAATAATTAAACAGCCAATTCTGGTACAAATCTTTATTGTTATCGATGGTGACAAGCTTATTTTCAAAAGTGATCATCAGCTCATGCGATCTCTTCACGTGTACATATGGTGCTTCTTTCGACACTCAATGGCGTACTCCCCACACCCCACGGTCCAGAGGTAGCACGATGGTGCCAAAGTAAGAAATACGTATCTCCGAAATCCCGGGCCTCGACTTGAGTCGGTGCAAAGTGTTCCCCGGAGAGAGAAGGAGAGAGGAGTGGAAAAGGAGTCAGGAGGGTAAAAATATAACACAGAGGGGCATGTATCGACAGTCGAGTATTGGACAGACACACACACACATGTCCTTGCACGAAAAATTCTTGAGACAAGGAGAAAAAAGGGGTCAAACGGTGGGCGTCCTGGGATGAAGAGAAAGAGCGACGAGTTGCAGACAATAAAACAAGAAGGAAGACGAGCTAACAGGACGTCGTGGAAGAAAAAGACGGTGGCAGCGTTCCTCCTGTGTGACGAGGAAAAATCGCAGAACTATAGGGCTTCTGGTGGAAGTTGCCGTCCTCCGAGAGACGTATACACTTGGAGCGTACCTCCTGATATCCTATATCCCCTACATCCAACTCCCTTCTCTTTCCACCCTTTTTTGTTGTCTTTTGAAAGAGATACCGCAACTTACTGGAGAAAAAAGCCTTCTGGGTATACTATTGTTTTTTCGCTCAGCTTATCGTCCATGCGACCTTCTAGATTGACATTTTTATCATATTTCTCGGTACGTCATAAATAATAGTAAAAAACTTTATAGTTTCATAAAACAGTTTTGATTGTAATCATTACCAGAATACTAATATGATGAGGTTACAGCTGTGGTAAAGTAAAAAGGTTCGTAAGATCACGTCAATAATTCGAGTACCCTTGAAAATTATTTGGTATTTATGAAAATTTTTTAGTTCATTCTACCGTTGGCAAAATTAAAATAAACGAGACTAAAGTTTTAATAATTCTTGCATTTTTAACAGACACGAGGATGAACATTATCCGGAGTTAATTTACAAATAAAGTTAAATGAAAAATGAAAGAGCTAACTAATACGAGTGAATCCAGCTGTGGTTGGCCGCCTAAAATAGTTTGGCTAAAAAAATTTTTTTAAACTATTGTTAAATATGATATTTTTTTGTAATAACCCTTTGATATACGTGATTTTTATGATTTAACTTTTTGTAAAATACTTACGGCAACTTTCAAATTCCAGGAGAAAAAGATGTGGGTGATAAGTTTATAAGTTTTAAAGTAGTTTCTCTGGAACGAATAAATGACACAATCATCGCGTAAAACTCAAACAATATTCAACTTGCTGAAACTCAAAGTACCTTCATAAAAATATGACAAAAAGCTAGAAGGTTATCCTTAGATGTGCTATTTTTCTACAAACTTTGTCTAAAAATGAAGAATTTCTTTATTTACTGAAAAAAAAAAAAAAAAAAAAAAAAAAAAAAAAAAAAAAAAAAAA